GTTTGTACAAATAAACTTCTGCCCGACTTACAGACGGCGGTGTTGTGTTATTTTTTTAACAAGTCACATATTTTTGGCTTAGTCTGACTTGACTAATCTCACGTACCTCATTTGAGAAGGAGGATACAATTATGTCTGTAGGTGATTATATAGGGGGGGGGGGGGGTGGGGGTGTACAATTTGGAATATGAGCGACAACGCGGATAGTGGGAGATTTCAAAACTATAACGTCAGTTTCATACGGCACGTTTAAACTTAAGTTGGGAGTAGTTGCACACATGATGAGTTTAAGGTGAGCTGGAATTGGCGAGTCTTAACTAGAGGGTTTGGGGGCTTGATAGTATAGATCAGTGTTTCTTCCAGACTTTTTTCTCCGGGGGGCACTTGAAATTTTCGGGGGGGGGGGGGGCGGTAAACTTTCTTCGGGGGGCGGACACTGTTAAAAGTATATATTTTCTATATAAATTATATAAATTTCATTTCGTTCGGGGGGGGGCGGTAAAAATTGCCTGGAAGAAACTCTGGTATAGATACGCCACTGATATCTGCACCTTTCATTGTACTGTGTATAATACCTAGGCTTCCGGTATAAAGAATTTAAACAAACACGACCAAATTCCAATTTTTAAAAATACGAATAAAGATCATGAAACAAATCCACCAGGGTTTAGATCTAAGTTTTCTGCTAAGCGGACCAAAATAATGATAATCCCTATAAATCTGCTATCTAAGCCTAGACTCAATGCACAGGAAGGGGAGAAAACCGTGAATGGATATCTCTACGGTAGACAAATGAGGTAATAAAACAACAAGTCGGCGAAACAATGAGGTGTCGCGCACTAAGCTCACGCAACATTAGGGGCGGGGAGGGTGGAATAAAAAAAACAATAGGCCATAACACGGAACAAAGTATGATTTTAGGGGCGGGGAGAGGGGTATAAAAAACAATAAGCCAAAACACGAAACAAACTATGATTTTAGGGGCGGGGAGAGGGGAATAAAAAACAATAAGCCATTACACGGAACAAACTATGATTTTAGGGACGGGGAGAGAGGAATAAAAAAACAATAAGCCATAACACGAAACAAACTATGATTTAAGGGGCGGGGAGAGGGGAATAAAAAACAATAAGCCATAACACGAAACAAACTATGATTTTAGGGGCGGGGTAGGTGAATAAAAAAACAATAAGCCATAACACGAAACAAACAATGAAATGTAAAACAGGGGAGAAACAACAGGCGGCATGTATTTCTATTCAATACAACGACGCCAGTATCCAATCAATACTTTGTGAAGAGGGCTGATAATTACAAGGGAAGAGGGCGCTTGAGATGGAGCAGAATAGCCTATTAAGGCAAGCGCCCAGGGGCTCACTCCTAATGGGACTAATTTCTTAGAACACACACAATCATACAACACTCGCTAGGAAGCCATTTTCGCTGGAGAACGAGTTTTGGCTTTGGCCCTGATGCTCAAAGTAGCCGCGGTCGTCCCCTGGTCAAAATATTGGTGGATTTGTCACTCACGCCGCTGGGGTGAGGCTATGGGCGTGTGGTCAGCGTGAGTGATGTCCCTCTCTCGCTCCTTGCCTCACACCCACTCTCACACACTCTCTCGCTTCTTTAATTAAAAGTGCTTGACTCTCCACGGTAACAATATGGTGGTCTTTGTTAACTCACGCCAAAAGTAACAGCAAATAATCACTCGTTGAATAATAATGTCAAATAACTAGTGTTGGACTAGTATTAGTAATGCCAACCGACCAACTTCTGTATGATTTACTGGTTCATATGAGACTATGGTAGTTTAACTAATATAACATCAAAGTTTCGAATCAATACAAATGCACTGGGTTTTTTCTTTTACATTGGATTACTAGCAGAGTTTCTTCCATGCATCTCTTCGGGGGAGGGGGGGGGGGGGAATATATATAATTTCAAGTGCACCCCCCCCCCCCCCTGGAGAAATATGTCTGGAAGAAACACTAATTAAAAGAAAGCCTAAAAATAAACATAAAATATTTGGGAATTACACCCTTAAAATTAACCAAGGTTTCTGAATTAAGGAAGGAATAAAAAATCTGGTTAGTTTAAGGAATTTCGCCAAATTAGTAGTGACCAAAATATTTTTCATGGAACCATTTATTTAGCACAGGAAGTAAAACAATGAGAGAATGCAACCATTAATATTGAAACCACCAGCGGTAAAACTCAAGTCTCTTATCCCTTCCTGCTTGAGTCCATCCATTATGAAGTCTCCCTGCTCAATGGAACCCAATCTGGTCTCCTCATAAAGATTGGATGTGTAATCCTCTGCCAAAATCTTTCGTCTAGATTACATTCTATGCCATTGACATCAATATTTAATTAGAAAACATTTTTTTCCGCCCCAGCGTAAAGAAACAGAGCATCAATCATCACAGGAAAATTATCTCTGCTTTTGTTTTAAGATAATTAAAGGAGCTGTTTGAAAAAAAAAATATAGGCCTAGAGAGAAGTGAAAAAATGGATTCACAAAACAACTACTCGAATCTTAGTTTAAAAGGTTAATTTTTAAAAAATTCATTACACAACAAATACTATGAATTGAAAAATGTCAAGTGAGAATTCAGCAGGAAATAAATAAGTATTTAAATTCTTACTAAACAAGATTAACATACATCTTAGACTCTTCACTAAGGGCTCAAGCTACTTCTTAACCAACACACTTTATTCTAAAGCGCATAGATATCTAGATATATATTAAAATATATCTAAAAGCCGTCAGAATGTCTATAAAAACTCACAAAGGCTATAAAATAAATGGCAAATTTGTAAGTGTGTTTAACTTGGTAGTCCACACAAGACCACCATATGCCCAAAGTGAAGTAATATATCTAAGAACCCATAAAATCTCTAAAATCTTACAACTTATTGTAAATAAATCAATTTCTTTAAAACGCAACACAATTTCATAAAGCCTATTGAAACTGAAAATGTCTCTGTTACAGTACATTGTCAGCGGATAAGGTATGATTTTAACTGTTTAATTTTTTTTTAATTTAAACAATGTACTTTTAAAACAGGGAATAAAGTGAGATGCCACTGAGTATAAAAATTCTGAGTTATCACTAAATGTCTGCCATCCAGTCAAGAAATTGAATATTGTTTATCAATACTCTGGCAGATGAGGTTCGTTAGCTGGGGACAGCCACTCCTCTAGAAGAGAAAACTCCAAAATCAAACAACTGCTGCCTTGTAGTTTATTCTTAGTTGGACAAAGGCTATGGAAGTAAATCCAAAATGATAAGCAGGCTGAAATCGAAGTCGATGGACTCAATGGCGCATAACCAGTTGACACGTAATACTTAATAGTGTTGGAGGGTATCCTTCCAACACTAAAATTAAGAACGAAGAAGAAGGAGTTTATCAATACAATCTTAAAGACAGTGGAATCGGTGCAGAAAACACATATTGTTGTTTCTATTTGAAGCTACCTCTTGTCTGTTTAGGTGATCTAAATTATTAACTGCATTAATTCTGTATTTGTTATTTTCTTGTGATGCCATTACAAAGATGGGCTAGGGTAATGTTCACAGATTAAGTTAAAGGATAAGTCTGTATCCAACACAAACAAGATGTACTGATTAGGATAAGTCTGTATCCAACACAAACAAGATGTACTGATTAGGATAAGTCTGTATCCAACACAAACAAGATGTACTGATTAGGTTAAGTCTGTATCCAACACAAACAAGATGTACTGATTAGGATAAGTCTGTATCCAACACAAACAAGATGTACTGATTAGGTTAAGTCTGTATCCAACACAAACAAGATGTACTGATTAGGTTAAGTCTGTATCCAACACAAACAAGATGTACTGATTAGGATAAGTCTGTATCCAACACAAACAAGATGTACTGATTAGGATAAGTCTGTATCCAACACAAACAAGATGTACTGATTAGGATAAGTCTGTATCCAACACAAACAAGATGTACTGATTAGGTTAAGTCTGTATCCAACACAAACAAGATGTACTGATTAGGATAAGTCTGTATCCAACACAAATAAGGTATTTAATTACAACATGGGACTGTAAAATTGCAGGTCATAGAGGAATTTTGCTTCCTTAAACCCAAGGTGAAAGGTCATAAGCATAGGATCTCTTGAGGCTAAGGCAGGGGTCAGAGTTGAGAGGTCTTTGAGTATAAGAAAATATGGAAACTTCAAAACCCTGATACAAACAGAACAGTCTATAAGAAAGTATGGAAGCTTTAAAGCCCTGATACAACTTTATCTTAGTTTACCACTGAAACTATTAGCTTGAATATTGAGTTCCATTTACAACTACATCTTAGTTTAGCACTGAAAACATTAGCTTGAATACTGTGTTACATTTACAACTACATCTTAGTTTAGCTCTGAAGATATTAGCTTGAATATTGAGTTCCATTTACAACTACATCTTAGTTTACCACTGAAAATATTAGCTTGAATATTGAGTTCCATTTACAACTAAATCTTAGTTTACCACTGAAAATATTAGCTTGAATATTGAGTTCCATTTACAACTAAATCTTAGTTTATCACTGAAAATATTAGCTTGAATATTGAGTTCCATTTACAACTAAATCTTAGTTTACCCCTGAACACATTAGCTTGAATATTGAGTTCTATTTACAACTACATCTTAGTTTGCCACTGAAAACATTAGCTTAAATATTGAGTTCCGTTTACAACAATCTCACAAGGCGCCTAAAACATTTTATTGACACAAGGTAATGTGAATATCATCATTTGTCTGTGTCACGAGGTGAAGTTTTTAATGCAGATGTTTTTGTTGCAACCAAATAGCCCATCCATACCACAAATAAGGACCAAAGTTCTTGAAATAACAAGCCAGAAGAAAATGTTTTTTAAAAATAACCTTGTCAAGAACAGAAATGTCCCAACCATATTGATACAATACCATGCATGCATAATCAGAATATTTAAGAAGAAAATGTTCATACCTTATTCTGGATTTCGTAAATATTTTAACCAGTTTTCTCCTTTGTTTCATATACATAGGAGCTAGCCCATACTTTTTAAAACTTGTATTGTGTTAATAACGAAATAATTTTCCTGGAAGAAAAAAATATAAAAAGATCGTTAGAAAATTTGAACCAAAATGTGTGCATGGTTTGTAATGTTATACAAGGTTCTCAGCATAAGCCCACTGTCTCCATCCAGGCTTAAAGTGAAAAGCTGTTTAATCAGGAAAAGGTGTTGTTGATGTTTCTGCTATAACAAATATTAGCTTCATCACACAGTTTAAGCAGTTGAAAATGCCAGTGGTTTTTTGTACAGGGAGACAAATGCAGCTGGTTCAACAAACTAAACAGGAAATGTTGCTGATCAATTATTTTTTTTTACAACTACAGTTGTAGTATAATAATAATGATAATATGAGCTAAATGTACAATGTAAAAAAATGAATAAAACAGAATTTCTAATAAGATTTTTAAAAATCTAGAGGGCCTAATCAGTGATTAATCACTTCTTAATTTGTACTCCAGCTAAATTATTTCTTAAGTATATACATTTAAAATGTGACCTGAAGTCATTTAATTTTCACAGTTGCCTATATATATATATATATATATATATATATATATATATATATATATATATATATATATAAACCTATATAGACTATAATATAGTAAAGATTCCTCTATAGTTCTATATAGTTCTATAGTTCTATAACGCTCCCCTGGGCAGATGAAGTAGAGTTCATATGGTTCTTGACCTTAGCTCATGAAGGGATGGTGTGGTCAGCACTATGCCCAGCACTTTTACTTTCCCCAACTCAAGTCAGGTACCAATTACATAAACCTATGTTAAATCACAGCTTTAATGATCCACCTGCTATTGATATCTCATTTTTTTAAAGGCTGTAATTAACATCTCCAAGGGTTAACTACTCTATAAATAAGGGAAGATGTGTGGGGAGAGGGGTGGCGGAGCAGGTGGGTCTATCAATCTTCTACTGAAAGTGAGATTACGTTATTATTATGTTAGCTTATATATGTACTGATGAATTGTCCCTAGGCCTTCAATCCATGTAACAAAGCCTTCATCACCAAAATGGAGGCTCTTTCGATAAAAGGTTGGTGATGATTGAAAATGGTGACAAAATGTTTGTTTACTAAATTGTTTAAAAACTGTGATATAAATTAAAAGTTAATCTCCATTATTTCTTATTATTGTACTAACAGTTCAACATAAGAGCGAGGAATCATGCATATTGACTGTAGCATTAAAAATTTGAGAATTTTACCCCCTACCCCACAATGTCATATATAGGCCTATATATATATATATATATATATATATATATAGCCTATATATATATATATATATATAGCCTATATATATATATATATATATATATATATATATATATATATATATATATATATAGCGCCTATATATATCCTGGCTGTAGAGCCCTAGATTGCTAAACTGAAATTCTGAAGTTCGAATCCGGGTTCAAGTTACTAGAAGACCCTGAGTCCACCTAGCTCTGATGGGTACCTAACTCACATAAAAAGAGTAAAGGCGGCTGGGCTTAGCACTTATATGCTGAGGTCACAGAATCAGGTGAACTCTACTTCATTAGCCCAATTAACTGTCAGGTATGAAAAGGTAACTTTTAGGCCCATATTACATGATAATAATTATGTTCATAGGCTTAAAAAATTATATTCCATATCTACTTTAAGAACATAAATTTTTAAAAATAATATTCAACATTCTGAAATGGTAAAATAAAGTGACAAAGTGTAGTGTTGTTTAACCATCAACATGAGACAACTCTAACTCTGGGTTTCGCAGGGTTTTAACACCCCCCCCCCCTAAATATTGTAGGATGAGTAAGTCATAACCCCAAGTGATTCGACAAGCTTTTTAAACATTAATTTATATGCCTATTTTATTTATTATTGCTAGATCTATATCTAAGTATAAAAATAAAATAATAAAATATGGGCCCAATTATTTTCCCAAGAACTGGATCTAGATTCTAGGCTACTAAACTATGCTAAGTCAAAGTCAAAATTGTGTTTTCTTCGCTTATGACTATCCTCATATAGAAATCTAGATCTAGCATATATTTTCCTATAAAAGTATAGGGCCTAGAATTTATATTATAGATCTGACTCTATACTCTAGATAATTGTAAAGTATAGTATAAAAGTATAAATGTAAATTTACTAAATAGGCCTAGATCTAGATCTAGATCTATATTGAAGTATATTTTAGTATATTGAAGTATATTCTTACTATCAGGAATAATGACTATTATTAGGCATTAGGCCTATACTATAGTATATAACTATATAATGTAGTACTAGATCTAGTAACTAGACCTAGATTCTAGATCTTTGTGTATGAGTCTGTATAACAACAGTACACAGTGTTGTCACTGTGTCACTGCCAGGGTTACACCGTAACACTAACAGTCACAAGTACAAGTTAACAACAATAATATTTATTATTTAATAACATTACAACTGCAGAAGATGAAGCACCCACTGTGACTAGATCACCTAGCTAGATTAAGATCTAGAAATCTAGGTCTAGAAATCTAGATCTAAAAAAAAATCTAGATCTAGATCTCTATCTATTAATTTACCTACCCAATAACACACAAGTGCACTCAGTGCAGTAGATAGGAATCACGAAACGTTTCTATTTTTAGACTGTGCGTAACCTCTAGCAGCTAGCATCAAAACAAAAACTTTCGTCACACATTCACGTATTCATAGGCTAAAGGCCTAAAGCGAACAATATATTATATTAGATTCTAGAATTGTAACACACTTCCGTTTAAATACGATAAAGAAATAAATGTTGGGGAGAATGTTTACACCGGTGTCTGATAATGGAATCTTCTTTTAAAAAGGGGTGTTAGGTTACTGGTAGTTAACTAAATACACACATGGCTGGCTAATGTCAATGCTAACCCTGTCCCTAACCCTAACCCCAACCCTGGTCCAACCATATGCCTAACCCTAATCAGAAAATTAGTCGAGATTACAATACTACTAACAACCCAACACCCCTTTTTTTAAAGAAGATTCCATTATCGGACACTGGTATCTATAATCATCCAAAGAAAATGTCAAGACTCCACCCTTGCAGGGCACAGCATGGCGGATCGCCAAGTAACCAAAACACATAATCAACATCTTGGCTTGACTATAGCGACCGATTTCGTTGAGGCTAAAACAACGCGAAGGCAGATATTGGGCGCTAGGGTCAACTCTAAACACATGAATGGATTTAATCAATTTAATGGGTTGTTGGCTGACTGCGGTGTTTGTATTGACACCAGTCGTGCATTTAGTTTTTAATATTAGAATCTCGTCTCTTCTTAGACTTCTGTGACAGAAAAATAGGCTAGGCCTAAATTTTTAAAAAATCGTTAAGCTGATTGAAAGGAGTTTCATCTACAAAGCTGGATTCTAGATTTTTCTATGGATTGCACCCCTTATACTTTGGTTATAGATACGTTATATCTACAATCTACAACTAATTAGATCTAGAATCTAAATAAATCTAGATCTAGATCTTCTCTACATTTATTTTTTTTGTACTATTTATCCTTTATTATTCTAGATCTAGATCTATTTTGATTTCAAGGTCTTGTCTAGCTAGGCCCTTAATGACTTAATGCTTAAAATTAATATCTAGATTTAGAATCTAGATTCGGATCTATTTTAGAATCTAGATGATCTAGATCTATATCTAGACCTCTATATCTCTCTTTAAAATTCTGGACTTTTATTTATTAGATACCATGCATTAAGCCTAGATTCTAGATCTAGATCTATTCTATATTAATATTATAACTATATATAAGCAAAAATATTTCTCGCGAGTTCTACCTAGCTTTAGACTTTAGTTTTTAAGTTCTATTTTTAGACACGATGTTTATGTTAGTTAGGAAATAAAATCTGGCAATAACAAAACGAAAGAAGCAAACTACTGTAGATTTGTTTCATGCTTACCCCTTTCGAAACAACAAAGCCAAACCCAGTCATGTCCTCGACTGACGGTTGGAGCGGGTCAATCGACGTCATAACAGATCAAATGAGAACCGCCATTGATGTTTATTTTTGGTTTTATGCTAATGACGCGAACTGACTGCGAGCGCTAGTCTGCGTTTGTCGTCTGCTGGCGCATAGATCTAGATTTCTAGAGTCTAGATTTATGATCTTTTAAATGTTGAGGGTTAATTTCTGAACATGAGTTCTGATACTAATAGTAATAGAGGTTTGACATTATTACTGAAACTGATTGCCGTTGAAATAAAATATAATAAATTAATCTCCTTTTAAAATTTAATCCAATTTCGCCACATTAAAGGATTCCTATTTAAATCAAGTTGTTAGAATTTATTTAATGTCAAAAGATTTTAATGAATCGCAGACATAACTCAGTTTAATTTATTAATGTACTTTTAATTATTTTTAAAAAAGTTCTGGTGTGTTTATTTTCAACAATGGCCGAATGCACGAAGCATGTACCAGAAGCAGGTTGTAGATCTAGTCGTGAAACACTGGCACACAGATTACTGACACATTGTTATGTCAAAGCAAAGAGACAGTCGTTTGATGGTGACCAGTGTTTCTTCCAGATTTTTTTCTCCTCCGGCACTTGAAATTTCCGGGGTGGGGGGAGGGGGGGGGGGGTGTCCCAATTAATCTGTCTTAGAAATAAAAATAATAAACAACTTCTTGATTTTCGTCAAAATTATCGATGTTCTACGGGAATGAGTTGACAGCATAAGATTAGGGAGTCTGGCTTGTTTTAAGATGATGATGTATGGGGGGGGGGGGGGGGATTAAGCGCGACGTCAATTTATGGTAGCTATATATATATATATATATATATATATATATATGTGTGTGTACGGTATGTATGCATGTTTGTATGTATGTGTGTAATGTGTGTATGTATGTATGTAGGTATGTATGTATGTATGTATGTATGTATGTAGGTATGTATAGCATTATCTTGAGCCTAACCTTTACTCTAAGATGTTACAGTTACAGTCCTAAAGCAAGGGTGGTGCACTACCTGGCATCATCCAAGGGGTTGACACCAGTGTATCTATCAGACTTTTTCTCCCCTGGGGAAGGGCGAGCAGAGGTGTCGCGAGGCGGGGGCGGGGGTGCTGGTAAAAGTATATTTCTAGGGGGGGGGGGGGCGAATATCCCACACTTGAAGAGGCGCCTGAAGAAACACTGGTTATCATCGAAACGAAATAAAACTCATTTTAATGAGAAATGTTTGCTTTTCCTGTCTGTATAAAAGCTTATTACAGTTATACAATCACGGTGTGACACCACCAGCGTTGGGGCGGTCACCAAACTGCATACAGTTTCAGCATACCATAAATATAGTCGTTACGTCTCCGGGTGTCACCCGACCTTGTGACGCCACTGGTGATAGCCAAATAATAAGTACACAAATAAAAACAGATTTTATATTCATTATTTTTTATTGAATTCTATTCTATTCTATTAAACCTTTATAAGATGTAGTAATGCCTTTTTTACTGTTTTGTTTATAAATCTAAGAAAACAAAGTAGAAGGAAAAGTCAAGAAGGAAAAACCCGGGAGTGACCACACATGTAATGCAAGTCACGCCCCACGGCTATAGAAGACGAAGCCTGGCGTGGGTTGAATGGCTAAGATATCCGCATGGGTTTTTTCCTCTTGTGGCAGTCAGTGGTGTCACTTGGTGCGGTCACTGAGAGTGTTGTCCTAGCACCCTCCAACAATTTAACATTTTCGGTTTGGTGTCACCCTCTACTCAACAGTTTAATTATTTTAACTGGATAAAACATTGTATTTTGACGCTAAATTTTATTATTTTTAATTTAGTCTCACATACTAAATGGTGTCGCTCGATACGCCCTGCACCGCCCCCCCCCCTCCGCCCCATCTTGTAACGCTACTGGTAGCACCCACCCTCTTTTTTTATATACCTTCAATAAAGTATCCAGATAATAATTTATTTTTCTTTAAGTTGTTTCGAGTACTTTCTGTTACACATTAAGTAAAACTATTGTAATTTATCTCGTTTAATAAATGTTAAAGGTCTAAACTAAGAGAATTGATTAAGAAAAACTAATTATCTAACGATTTTGTGTGTCCGCTTTTGAGAAGACAAGAAAAATATAACTTGGCTTCACGTTGCCTCACAAAGTAATTCTGTACTGGTAAAAGCTAGGGTAGGTTTTTGTGTTGTAACGTGTATAAAAAAAATACAATGGTTTAACTATTTGAGGGGGTCAGAGAAGAAGTTAGGGGAAGGGTGTGGCCGCCTCGTGCGCTACTTTAAGGGGGCGCCAAACTGGGTAAAAATTATTTAAAATTCATTCTGAGTAATCTGAGCTACATTACTGAATGATACACAGTCGAAGTTAACAAAATAGACTACTGCTTTGCTTCCTTGACTTATTTAACTTTACAGTTTTGTGACATCATACGTAGCGTAAATTTGTAGTTCTTCCTGTGCGCTGGAATGAGTCGCTGCGCCTCTGGAGGGGGTGCAAGAAAATCCGTTCAGTTTTTTTGTTTTAAGTACCTGAGTAAACTTTGGCCTGTCAACACGTTAGTGCTAATCTGTTGCTGGGTCATACCTGGGTTTGGTTCAGGTTGACAGAGGTGGGTCATCGTCTTGGTGGTACCTGGCTCTGGTACCTGGGTTGTGTTCAGGTTGACAGAGGTGGGTCATCGTCTTGGTGGTACCTGGCTCTGGTACCTGGGTTGTGTTCAGGTTGACAGGTGAGTCATCGTCTTGGTGGTACCTGGCTCTGCTACCTGGGTTGTGTTCAGGTTGACAGAGGTGTATCATTGTCTTGGTGGTACCTGGCTCTGCTACCTGGGTTGTGTTCAGGTTGACAGAGGTGTATCATTGTCTTGGTGGTACCTGGCTCTGCTACCTGGGTTGTGTTCAGGTTGACAGGTGAGTCATCGTCTTGGTGGTACCTGGCTCTGCTACCTGGGTTGTGTTCAGGTTAACAGAGGTGTATCATTGTCTTGGTGGTACCTGGCTCTGCTACCTGGGTTGTGTTCAGGTTGACAGGTGAGTCATCGTCTTGGTGGTACCTGGCTCTGCTACCTGGGTTGTGTTCAGGTTGACAGAGGTGTATCATTGTCTTGGTGGTACCTGGCTCTGCTACCTGGGTTGTGTTCAGGTTGACAGAGGTGTATCATTGTCTTGGTGGTACCTGGCTCTGGTACCTGGGTTGTGTTCAGGTTGACAGAGGTGTATCATTGTCTTGGTGGTACCTGGCTCTGCTACCTGGGTTGTGTTCAGGTTGACAGAGGTGTATCATTGTCTTGGTGGTACCTGGCTCTGCTACCTGGGTTGTGTTCAGGTTGACAGGTGAGTCATCGTCTTGGTGGTACCTGGTTCTGCTACCTGGGTTGTGTTCAGGTTGACAGGTGAGTCATCGTCTTGGTGGTACCTGGTTCTGCTACCTGGGTTGTGCTCAGGTAGACAGGTGAGTCATCGTCTTTGCGGTACCTGGCTCTGCTTGGTGGCTCTATTAGATACCTGTATCCAGAGGCGTAGCGAGGGGGGGGGGGGGTGCGGAGCGCACCGGGTGACACCAATTAGGGGGGTGACACCAAGGCAAAAATAGCAAAATATATAGAGAAAAACTTGAGAGGGGGGTGCAAATCGAAAGTTTGAAAGTTTGTCCCCGGGAAGGGTCGCTACGCCTCTGGGGGGTGACACCATTAAGTGCCGCACCGGGTGACACCCGACCTCGCTACGCCACTGCCTGTATCTAATGTGTATTCGACTCGAATATGCAGTGTTTCTTGATAGCATTTTATTGCCCCCACCCCCCACCCACAGAAACCCCTCACTCCTATATTATAATTGACGTTGTTACATTTCTTTCTCCTCGACCGTATAACAATGAACAATCAACTCGTTTATTTTTCTTCCTCGCCGATGAAGATGCACGGCGCATTAATACCACTCTGATATACAGTCACTTTCATAAATGCGCATAATCACGCTGCCAGCGATTGTGTAAATGCGCTGGCATTAACAACAGAAACGAATCAATAGACCAAGGTAATGCCGGCCAGGGTTATATATAAACTCAACAAAGTGATGTAACTATTTAAATTTAGACAAGCTCTATCGACCAGCCCTACTTGTTTTTTAGAACTTCCGAACTTGAAATACAATTACCTCCCTTGTGCTGGCACGAATCAATGTCTCGCAGTTCAACTCATCGCCCAGATAGATCTAACCACGGACCGGTCCATTAGGTTTGACAAGACTAGCAGGATTTACCGTCTTTGTTTATGTGTTTCTTAACGTGCGTCTTTTTAAAGCAAAGGCGGGGTTAAGTAGATGGGTGAGGGTGTAGTTTAATCCTTCGTCTCTACATGTTATGTCCTGTAAAATTACTTTTTCAAACCTAGCTGTGCATGTGGCAGATGGAGGTAATCAAAAGCGCTACTGTGAACTCGGCATATGAAAAGATGGTGTGCCCAGCCGCCTTTATTTTCCCTAACTTGAGTCAGGTACCAAAAATACCTGAGTGGTCTCATTCACGTTCTGCAGACACGAGTCCGGGTTTGGAGCTCGAGACCTTTGTGTTGGCAGTCGTGCGTTTTACCGCCCGACCACGCCATCCATACTCAAAGTCAAAGTGAATTATGGAGATTTGGGGGAAGGGGTGGGGGGTTGGAGTCATACATCATTAAACACTTCATTATAATTTCCCACTCCCTCTGCACTTTGATTGCGAGTTAATTACTTAATATTCCTTAATTTATGGCTTTAACAACAAGCAGCTCTTTAAAATAATACCCGCGTATATATATATATATATATATATATATATATATATATATATATATATATATATATATATATATATATATATATATATATATATATATATATATATATATATATATATATATATATATATATATATATATATATCGGCAAAACAAATAATAATAATTTACAGAATTTTAAAGAGAATTTTTTATACTTTTTAGGAGTGTCCAGAACATTTATTTCCTTAAATGCCCCA